TTTTTCTAATTTCAGCAAAACCATTTCATCTTCCTATTTCGTCCCTATCTGTGACCCTAGACTCTCTTTCTCTTGGTCTCTGCAAACCATCATCGTTGTTCTTGAAGCATTCATTACTATAAAGACTCCCTTTGTGCCCAAGGTTCAAACTCTACCAGCTGAACTAGACTAACAGCCAAGCAATTTATTAGCTACTCCACACATCAACCCACCATCTCAATGGTAGTGAAAACATCAACATAGCGACAATCTTGCAGCTAGAACCAGGAACAAGAAACATCGAGGTCCTAAGCTCCTAGCCTTAGACCTTGATAATTTTTCAATCGCCTTATCTGTAAGTAACCATCTCCGTAACCAATGACGACATGTCTCGCCGAACTCTTGTCGTAGAAGACCTTTTTGTTGACATCCCTGATGTCATAGCTGTGCAATCCACTCCATCTCTTTATATTCAATCCAACATGCTCATGCCTCCAGCAACTTAATATCTCGAAAGAGAAGCACATGAAGTAAGTGGACCAAGTTACTACTGCCAAAGCCGAGGCCATTGCTAAGGCTAAAAAAACAAGTCAACATGGTCTGCAACAAAAGCTACTATCTTGACTGGATGACAACCCTCAAAAAGATGTCTATCCCCGAGGACTCACCCCTCCGTGATATGGGTCAGCTCAATGTCCCTCTCCCTCCCTCTCCCAATCAATCTAAAGATGCGGCTAAGGAAGTAGAAGAGGCCGACGAGGAGGAGGCCGGAGACAGGAAAGAGGCTAAGGCTGAGGTTACCGAGAAAGAATCTGAAGCTGCTGCTGGGGCCAAGTCCCCAACTCTAAATGAGCAAGTCCTTGACTTGACTCAAGATGAAGAGAATAAGCTTCAAAAGACCACTTCTGAGTCCGAGGTCGAGACTGCCAATAAGAGCCTAAATGACACACTACGTGAGATTAACACCGAGGTCCAAGCTAAAAAATCTGCCCAGCTATCTGCCGAGGCTGACACAACGCCAATTGCCAAGGCAGGATAGACTGTGGAAAATGCATGAACTTTGGTTTTTCCTCATTTTTGTAATTTTTCTTCTTACTTTTGGATAGTTGTAATCTTTTGTTTGAAAAATGTTAGCTTTATATTTGGCCAATGTGCCCCTTTTGTCTTTGTAGATGAACAAGTAATCTCTTATGCCAAGCCGAAGTGCCTTTTTGTATCTACACAAGTTTCTTTTCTGAATACAAGTCTTATATTTTCTTCCAAGTGTTGAATGTATGCATTATTTTCTTCTATGCATGTTTGTTGCTTTCTTTCATGCTTTTCATGCTTCCAAACTTAGAATATTTTTGCATTTCTTCAAAGTGTACCTTAACTGTATAATAACTCCGGGATACAATACCTCGGATAAACCTTGATTGTTTGCCTCGGCAAACCATTTTCATATCTCAGATAACACTTTAAAAATAAAAATATTTTTACAAGTGTTATTACTTTTTTACGTCCATACGCTATCTTCTATTAAGACTTCACCATTTTCAAGTTTTGACAACTTGGTTGGTCACCTCGGGTAACATGTACCTCGAATACTTTATTCATCATTGCATTGGCTAACTCCAACTTGTAAATTTCTCCAAAATTTCAACAAGTGTTAAGCCAATTTCTGAAAATTTCAACAAGTGTCAAACTCTTAAGTTTGTTCATCACTCCAGCTCCCTGCCCCCAATGTGAACTTAAGTTCCACTTAAGTTCACATTAAGCATATGACTATGGTCTTTTGCCGAAGTCAGATTCAAACAAAGGCTTCCCGAGATGTTTCAATCTTGGTTTCTCTATTAGTGAACTTAGTTCCATTCTGAGTTTGACTCTGCCGATATGGCAAGTCCAGGTTAATTCAACTTAGTTCAACTCTATTATATGCAAGTATAATTCAACTCTGCTATATAATGAGTCTAAGTTATTCATCATGTTTCATTTAGAAACATCGCCAACTTAGTTTAACTTTATTATATGCAAGTATAATTTAACTGTGCCATATAATAAATCTAAGCTATTCGTCGTGTTTCATTTAGAAACATTGCCAACTTAGTTCAACTCTATTATATACAAGTATAATTCAACTCTGCCATATAATAAGTCTAAGGTCAAGTTTGGCTATCCTAAATAAGTACACACTTTTTATCTTTTTATTTTTTTTCCATCACATCATCTCTCTACTTTTCTGCACATCTTTTCGTAAAAAGACAAAAAGTGCACTTATTTAGGTCATCCCAAACAATCCTTAAGTCATTCGTCATGTTTCATTCAGAAATATCGCCAACTTAGTTCAACACTATTATATGCAAGTATAATTCAACTCTGTCATATAATAAGTCTAAGTTATTCGTTATGTTTCATTTAGAAATATCGCCAACTTAGTTCAACTCTATTATATGCAAGTATAATTCAACTCTACTATATGATAAGTCTAAGTTACTCGTCATGTTCACCATGGGAACATCGCTATAAGACATTTCGGTCTTATCGCACAATCATGGATTCTAACAATATTTTCACGCTTTTTTACATAGGCTTCGGTATCCTTTGGCATGTAAGGTCACCAGAATCCCTATGATATAGCTCTATGAGCAAGGGATCTGCCCCGTGCATAAATCTCGTGTAAAAAGTCTTCAACCTAGGAAGGATGTACACATCGTAATAAAGGTCTAGTAAAAGTCCTTCTGTACAAATGGCCTTTTGCCGATAGGCAAAACCTGGCCGACTTCAGTCTGATCTTGTGTGCTTTTTGTCTTCTAGAATCTGGGATCTGCTCATTTAGGCTGAGTTCTTGTCTTCTCGAACCTACTCATCTAGGCAGAGATCTTGTCTTCTGGGATCTGGGATCCGAGATCTAGAATCCGAGATCTGCTCACTTAGGCTGAGCTTTTGTCTTCTCGAACCTAATCATCTAGGCCGAGATCTTGTCTTCTCGGATCTGGGATCCGGGATCTGCTCGCTCAGGCTAAGTTCTTGTCTTCTCGGACCTACTCATCTAGGCCGAGATCTTGTCTTCTCGGATCTGGGATCTGGGATCTGCTCGCTTAGGCTAAGTTCTTGTCTTCTCAGACCTACTCATCTAGGCCGAGATCTTGTCAACTAGGATTTAGGATCTGAGATCTGGAATCTGGGATCTTCTTCACTTAGGCTGAGTTCTTGTCTTCTCGGACTTAATCATCTAGGCCGAGATCTTGTCTTCTAAGATCTGAAATCCGAGATCTGGAATCCAGGATCTGCTCACTTAGGCTGAGCTCTTGTCTTCTTGGACCTACTCATCTAGGTTGAGATCTTATCTTCTAGGATCTGGGATCCGAGATTCGGGATCTGGAATTCGGGATCTGCTTACTTAGGCTGAGCTCTTGTCTTCTCGGACCTAATCATTTAGGTTGAAATCTTGTCTTCTAAGATCTGGGATCTAGGATCTGGAATCCGAGATCTACTCACTTAGGCTAAGCTCTTGTCTTCTCGGACCTAATCATCTAGGCTGAGATCTTGTCTTCTAAAATCTGAGATCCGAGATCTGGAATCCAGGATCTACTCACTTAGACTGAGCTCTTGTCTTCTCGGACCTACTCATCTAGGCTAAGATCTTGTCTTCTAAGATCTGGGATCCGGGATTTGGGATTCGGGATTTAGAATCTGGGATCTGTTCACTTAGACTGAGCTCCTGTCTTCTCGGACCTACTCATCTAGGTCGAGATTTTGTCTTCTAAGATCTGGGATCTAGGATTCGGGATCTGGAATCTGGGATCTGCTCACTTAAGCTGAGCTCTTGTCTTATCGGACCTAATCATCTAGGCCGAGATCTTGTCTTCTAAGATCTGGGATCCGGGATCTGCTCACTTAGGCTGAGCTCTTGTCTTCTCGAACCTACTCATCTAAGCCGAGATCGTGTCTTCTGGGATTCGGGATCCAGGATATGGAATTCGGGATCTGCTCACTTAGGCTGAGCTCTTGTCTTCTCAAACTTAATCATCTAGGCCGAGATCTTGTCTTCTAGGATTTGGGATCCGGTATTTGGGATCTGGAATCCGGGATCTGCTCACTTAGACTGAGCTCTTGACTTCTCAAACCTACTCATCTAGGCCGAGATCTTATATTCTGGGATCTGGAATCCGGGATCTGCTCACTTAGGCTGAGCTCTTGTCTTCTCGGACTTAATCATGTAGGCCGAGATCTTCTTTTCTAGGATCTGGGATCCAGGATTCGAGATCTGGAATCCAGGATCTACTCACTTAGACTGATCCTTCTATACTTGAAAGTCATCTCCTCGTGAACGCTCATGCTCCCCTGTCTTTGCATCCCTTCTAAAAGGGTCTTCATTTCGTTAATGTCGACACATTCTCCATCTTCGTTAAACTAGTCGTTGCCAACATGTTGATCTTGCACGATGATGGCCATTTATTCTAACTAAGTTCCTACAGACGGCGCCAAATTGTGGGTGTTGATTTCCGACCACACAATCAAATGGGGAACTCAGCTAGAGAGCACCGGTAGAATAGATTAAGCCCGAGCACTTGCCAACAAGAATATGAGAATACCGCGTTGGTTCGTCCACCCAAGGGCACTCTGACGATCAAGTCAGTAATCTTATCTCTCACAGATATCAATACAAGTACTTAAACTTCAACAATGAAAGCATAAAAACATCTCAAATAAAGCATATCTTAGACCCATGGAGGTGCCTGACTTTTATAATAATCAATGTCTAACTTTCCCTAGAAGTCTTACTTCATGGGACTCTATCCTTTACAAGAATAACATTTATCACAACTCAAACTATTCAGATTAAAATGAACTCCGTCAAGAGTCCCATCTCTATCCAAATAGGTAGCTTGATGTCATCTAGGCCTCTAATCCTCTATCCAAATATCTCGAATTTCGATATTATCGCACCATATCTGCCCACATGGCACCTTGGCCATGTGAACTACCTAAAAATATGTCTCCACCATACTCTTCTCAAAAATATATGGGGAATATAGGAGTGGAGAGAGCAAACATGTAAAGTGGATACTATGAAGTATAGGAATTTCTGTATGGGTTTTTTTTATATTTACATCTACACTGAAATAAGAATGCTTTCATTGTTTATCCCAAAATTTAATACACGTTAGTGTTTCTTGGACTCGCTGGAAAAAAAGGAGGCCATGTCTCTTGATCGTCTCTCTGCACATCTTTTTTTCTACTTACTGTGTTATGTTCCTATGCTTCTTGCGTTGTTTTGGGGACGAGGAAGCTCTTTGTATTTCACAGACCAGCTTGATTTTATCTGAATTAGGTCACACACTGATAGGACTGAGGGAACCATTTTGAGAATAGAAAGTACTTCATCTTCATTACCAACATGAAAATACCGTAGCATGGTATGTGCATCAAAGCCACCAACGCATACCTGCACAAAGCCGTAAAAAATAAACTACTTTTTAATGAATACTCACTACTACACGCCCCTTTGGTAACTTGGCCTTTTTTAGTCACTACAAAAATTAAAATTTTAGAAACTAAAATGTAGGAATAAAATTATTTTTCAGAGACTAAAATATTTTTGTTGTGAAAAGTGTTGTTATTATATTTTTAACAACGAAAATTAAACATTAGTGATGAATGATTTATCTTTTGGGGACTAAATTTTTGTCTCAAAAAATAAACTATTGAAACTAAATTATTTTGTCTCTAAAAAACTATTTATTAGTGACATTTTCAAAATTTTATCGCTAAAAGTCTTGTTTTTGACTTTTCAGGACGGCCTTTTAACGATTATCCTCATGACGATAAAAATTGGTCCATAAATGTCTTTTACAACAAAATTTTCACTTTTAGAGACTAAAAAATTTAATCTCTAAAACTCTAATATGTTGTGATGAGTATTTTTTTACTTTTTGACTTTTTTATGAAGTAAAAAAAATAAATGTGTTTAGAATGTTTTTTTTAATTGAATAAATAGTTACCAGAAAAAAAGTAATTGATTTATAAATATGATTTGACATTTTAACTTTGTTTTAATCTTTTTATTTTTGGTGATTTTTTGATTTTTTTAACCCAAAAAAAGCCTAAGCCAACGGTTGACATAAATAATGAAAAGGCCGTGGGAAAAGCCTTTTGAGTGACCTATCATACGTCAGGACACTACAACAAAAATCACTTATAGCGACTAAATTTTTAGTCGCCAAAGGTCCATTTTTAGTCGCCAAAAGTCACTTTTATACCTTTCCCGACTGATTTTTTTTGTCGCCAGTGTTGTCGCCAATAAATGGTCGCTCAAGGTTTTGGCGACTAAAAACGTTTTAGTCGGCAAAAAGTCAGGTCTTCAGCGACAAAACTTTTGGTCGCCAATACTCAATTCCACTTATTCAAATTATCCATTTAGCGACAAATATTTTAGTCGCCAAAACCTAATGAATCGCCGACTAAACTTATTAGTCGCCCAAAACAACACATTTGGCGACGAAACAGTTTAGTCGCTGAAAGCATTTTTCTGAAAAAAAAAAAATTCAGCCATTGCTACTCCCAGGTTTCGAACTACTGACGTCCCAGCCACTTTAACCTTTACCAACACTCTCCCCACTACGCCACAAGAACTTCACATGAATATTTTCGGTAAAACACCCATATTCGGCGACTAAAGTATTTTTTAGTCGCCAAAACCTATAGTTTTGGCTACTAAATGCTTTTAGTCGCCAAAAACCGTGCCTTTTAGCTACTAAAATTTTTTCAGTCGCTAAAACTCCTATATTCGGCGACTAAACTGACTTTTAGTCGCTAAAAGCCCTATATTCGGCGACTAAAGTGCTTTAGTCGGCAAAAGTGCTCAAGTTTGGCGACTAAACTGATTTTAGTCGCCATTTGTCCTACTTTCAGCGACGAAAATACTTATTTTAGTCGCCAATTCTGCATTTTCTTGTAGTGGCAGAAGGGTGGATGCTAATATGGTGGGGGCAAAAAGTTTTTTTGGCGACGGTATTTCATGCTAATTCTTATTTTTGGCAACTTAATTTAGTTATATTTGGTGTTGGAATTATTTGCATTTGTCATAAATAATTTGCATAGTACTAATTATATATGATAAGTATAGAGTAGTGAAATTCTAAGAAAAAACTTCTTTATTTCAAGCTATTCCAAATTTTGCCAAAACTAGTTTGCTGATTTCAGTGAATCAAATGCAAGAGAATCAACTGCATGAACTATATACAAAGTTCTTATTCGAATAAAATGTACTTAAGACTTATTTGTTTCCTAATTAATCAAAGAGGAGATGTTTTATGATAATAACATACCATAGCGGCGAAAAAGTAGACTTGTTTGTTTCCTAATAAATCAAAGAGGAGATGTTTTATGATAACATACCATAGTGGCGAAAATGGAGATGACAAGTCCAGAAATGGATACGGCCACCTGTTTCAAACAGATATTGTTACAAAATATTGAAAACGGAGGCGTGTGCATAACAGAGAAGGCGAAAAGGAGAGTTAGTTTACCAAAGCGAGACAGAGGCGTGAACGATCCATTGGAAAACAACATAAAAAGATGTCCAGAGGATGAAGTATGATATTCGGAACCAAGGGAAGCGCTGAAAGCGAAAAATGATTTTGACAGAACTTATGAAAAGTAATTTGGAAATCGAAATTAATGGAAACACAAACGAGGTGATTTGACTTACAAGAGAATTCAAAGCAGTGTCACCAAGAAGGAAAACTGCATTGGTTGTGTGCATGCTTATTATCAACTGGATTATGAAATTGGTTAGAAAACAAAAAGAAATGTTTTTCAAACAATAAAAATAGCAAATCTCCGTATTTTGTGTATTTACTGCCGATAAGTAGAACTTTACACTAAATACAATGCTTGTTTGTTTGTGCTTTCATTTTTGGTTTTCATCTTTTCTAAAACAAAAATAGTGAAAAGTTCGATAAATACCCATCAACTTCATTTTTGTGCTTTTTTAAAAAAAAAAAAATTCGAAAACAACTTTTTGATGTTTCTAAAATGTGGGATGGTCTCAGAAAATTTTCTCAAAAACAGTTTTCTGAATTAGTTCACCTAACAAGTATCTAGAAAACGAAAATAAAAAACATAAAATGAAAACATAACCAAAACAAAATAGCAAGAAGAATGCTATTCAAATTTAGATACAGGCATTGCGATTAAGTTGTGAACGCACTAGTTGAGGAAGCAAAATTTTGATTACTTACAAAATTTAGATTGTAATCTTTGAGTTCCAAAATGGGTACTATAATGATCCAGAAAACGCAGTCAGTGAGAATCACTGCACCTGCATTCATCTATTCAAAAACAAAAAACAAGAAACAGAGTCAGATAGTCAAGAACCGAGTGTGACAAAGCTATTTTGTTTCCTATTTTGCATTAATCAACTCTTTTGAACAAAGAAATCAGAAACCAAAATAATAAAAACAAAAGCATTTTTGATAATAAACAGATAAAGACCATACTCTAACAAAGCTATATCTGTTTTTGAAAATGAGAAAAAACACTTATCATTCAAGCTACTTCAATAACAATTATTTTAATTAACCTGGAAAATTATTTGAAACATGTAGCCCCAAAACCCTGCAGTTTGACGAACTTCGCGTTCTTGATTAGGTCCCGGGGAGAGTTTTTTGCCATTGGATGCATTTGAATTTTCCAAATTTTTAGGAGTTGTATTGTTGCCTTGTTCGGCATCAAAGTCCTCGGTATGAATTCTATCGCCACTTACTTTTTTATGATATCGGTAGCAACCATACATGGAGAGCAACGATCCAAGCTAAAAATAAAGTTATGAAGACCATGATGAAATCGATTCAAACATAGACTTAAAAGGAGTGCTAGTCATTAGGGAAAAAAGGAGTTTAGAGATCGATGGCATACCCCAAAATAAATGGTTATGAGCGTAAAAGTCCACCTGTCCAACATCAAATTTCACCAATTAAATAAAACTCACATTATTGAAAATTATTTTAGGCTATCTTTCCAATCAAAAAATTATTCTGACTCTATTTTCTGAACCAAAAAGAAAAAGAAAATCTTCTTTAACTCTTTATGGAAAGAAAGCCAACTCATAGTTCTCTTCTTTAACTCTTTATGGCAAGAAAGCAAACTCTTTAAAAATTACTGTGGAATTGACGAAATGGGTAAACAAAACTCATTTGACAACACCGTAAATAAGCTATTTATTGACTTATTGATTTATTTAAATCACCTCACCTTTTTACAATTTTACACGTCTTTTTATAATAAGTAAAAAAATCAATTTATAAGTCATACTCAAAATAATTTATCATATAAGTTGGCTATATCTATGATAAATAACATAATTATCTTTAAAATAAAATATCTTTTCCATCATGCTCTCCGATATAAGGGTATTTTGATATTTCACAAGATTCACAAATTTTTCTCTATGGTTGGATACTACCTACTTTATTCTAGATCTTAAAGTCAGGGTATTTTGATATTTTTACAATTATGACATGCAACCATATACGTAGTTAAAGGATAACTATTTCTATTTCTTACTTATAACTCTTTTTAATTATAGTAAAATTGCAACGACCTTGACTTTGCTCTAGTTTTGAAGTGAATTAAGTAAATCTTATACTCTTATACATGCGTATGATTCATAATTCTTGTTTATTTGTTTATTTGTTTTTTCTCCGTGGCTCACCGATCCTAATTAGAAATTCTGCAATTCCTGAACATGAAAGACTCAAAAGTCACAAGAAAATTAATTTGGTGAAAAATAATAAAAAATTCAAAAACACTCACCATTTGTTTGTGCAAAAATAGTTTTTGAAATTCAAAGACATATTTTGCCTTCATTTTCACCAAATTAATTTTTAATATTTTTTATTAAAAAAAATTCTCAAAACAAAACCGAACAGAAAGATAAAAAGTAAAACCGATGAAATGGAGTACTTACTGAGTGTAGAAGTAAAATATATCGCCACCATTGACAACAATATTTAAAATCAGAAGAATCAAAAGCACAAAGAAAGCGAAAACTCGGAATCCCAGCAACCAAACAGGGTGAATTCCTTTCAAACATGGCTTTCCAACTTCTCCTATACGTATTCTGCTGCTGCTCTTCCTTGTTCTTCTCTTCTCCCATCTTTTGCATTGTGCCGTCTTTCGTTCTTTAAAATAAGAATTGTTGCGAAAACCATTGAAATTAAAACCCAAATGGCGCAAAGCAAGAACCTCCAGTTCAACCAGTAACTTGGAGTGGCTGTTTTGACAGTCATTTTTGGTTGCCAAGAATTTCGCGACGGTCCTGCTAAGAAATTCATGCTGTTTTTACTTCTAGTTCAATGGGTATGCGTTTCCAAATGGAAAAACAACTTGGAATTCCAAAAGATTGAAGTGGGGAAGAAAATGAGAAATTTATCTTTAATTTTTTTTTAAAAAAAATGGGTGATTTATGCAAAATTTTGAAGTTTTCAATCACTTCTTGAGGGTGATTTAAGTGAAAATAAATAATAGAATTTTAAAATATGGGCTTTTTGGTGTAATGCTAAAAAAAACCACAGAATTTCACTATAGCATCTGAAATTATAGGAAACCCAAACTTTTAAATGACAAAACACAAAAACAACAACAAAAACAAAAACAGAACGGGGCAAATTTTAGAAATTAAAGATTCAAAAATATGATATTTAGCTAGACTATTTGGAAAATTATTGAATGTGTCTCAAAACCAAGAAACAAAAAAAACCCAAATTTTGAGAAGAACTGAAGAACAGTGTCAATCATGAATGAGTTCATCTCATATATATATACATATATATAACAGCTACAGAGAAAGTGTCTGATATTGATCAAACAAAACCCATGAAGAAACTTAAAGAGATTCCAAACTTTAAGTGGGTATTTGCAAAGAAAGCTATAGATACAAAATTTTATTTGTTATATAGAAATGAAAGAAGAAAAGAGAGTCAAGTTATTAATTGTAAGCAAAGGAAAGGAGGGATGCTTACAGGGGAAGCAGGGAGATGCTTTGCTTCTTTAGCTTTTTGGTTTGGAGAGAGAGAGAGAGAGAGAGAGAGGTGTGCTTTGAGCATAAGCTTCTCTTTTTCTTTTTTTTCTTTGTTTTTTTGTTATCCCAATTTAGATCTTGTGCCTGTAAACATAGACCAGACTGTAGTCTAATGTCACAATCTCAATCTCACTAGTATGCACATGCATATATAAAATTTACAACAATGGTTCATCCAATTATAAACATTACCACTAATAGTATTAATGCATTAAAAAAGTAAAAAAATAAAAAAAAAATACAACTCCAAAACCAAAACATCACATCATTAATGACGAGACCCACTGTCACCTAATTAGTGGGAGCACTAATTAGTGCTCCCAAGCATTTTTCTAAAATTTATGGTTTTGTCGTCACACTTGTTTTGTTGTTCTTTTAATAACCTCAGGCTTATTTTGTTAATTGACTAAAATAATTAAAAATTAAAAAATAATTATAAAAAAATCAATTTTCTTTTTTATCAGAATAAAAAAAGTCAAATTTGTTGTCTTTTTTTTTTAATTTTTCATAAAAAATTAAAAGATTAACTAAGCCTCTGTTTGGGAAGAAAAAGCCCAGGCTTTTTTGGCTAAAATAGCCACAAAAAACAAAATAGGCTATTTTAGCCACAAAAAACAAAATATCAAATCCAACTCATAATCATTACAATCCTCTCTCACAAAAAAAGTCAAAAAAGCCAAAAAGCCAAAAAGCCCTTCCCAAACCAGGCTAAAATAGCCCAGGCTAAAATAGCCAAAAAGCCAAAAAGCCAACCCACTTCCCAAACGGAGGCTAAAATAACTAATTCACGAAACAATCCTCATTTTTTTAAGTCCTCTTTTAACCTTTAGCTAGAAAGGTCACATCGTAAAAAATATATATATATGTATTTAATAATTTTTTTAATAAAATTTGTGTCAATTTTTTTTTATTTTCTGGTCAATCTAATGTATAAGAATCTAAAAAAATGAAAAAATCCAAAAAGAAATCATTAAAGATAAAATAAAATAAAAATAAAAATATGGAAGAAGAAGATATTTTTTTAAAAAAAATCGTCTTTAAGACCATCTCCAACGGTGAATCAAAGTTGGTAACAGATTCAAATTTTGATGAAAAAGGCACTTTTTTATGCTCCAACCGTTGCACCAGATTGATATCAAAATGAGATTTCAGCAAAAAAAGCATCAAACTGAGAACGAGACACAGATTTTACCAAATCATTGTTACTGACCGTTGAAAGAGGTACACCGGTCAACCAGCCGGTTGCCCGGCCGGTTGACCAACCGGTCGACCGATTTCCTTTAAATTAGGTAGGTTCAAACCGTTCAAAAAATATTCAAACAGTTTAAAAAAATATATATATATATTTTTGCCTTACCGGTCGACCGGCCGGTCAATCAACCGGTCAACCGTCTCTCAATTTACTCTTCTGAACAACTTCCAATTTAAAGCTATGTTGGGTGCATGGATTCATATCAAGCGTGCATGGATTCATGTTGGGTGCATGTTGGGTACATGTTGGGTGCATGGATTCATATCAAGCGTTGGGTGCATGTACAACTTCCAATTTAAAGTTGTGAAAAAAAAAAAAGAAAAAAAATTTACTCTTACCGGTGGACCGGTTGGTCGACCAATCGGTCAACCAATCGGTCGACCCACGGGATTTGATACACCGTTTGAGCTAGGGATATCAAATTTAGTGAAATGGATCATTTTTTACTCAGATTTGGTGAAAAATCCGATTCACCGTTGGAGATGCTCTAATGAATTTTTTTTTTCATATTTTTTAGTTTTCTGATTCATCTAGTTAAATAGAATCTACAAGCCAACATTTTTGCGGGAAAAAAAAAAAAATTCATCAAAGAAGGAAAAAAAAATCAACAAAAAGGTCTTAACACCTACTAAAAAAATCAAAAAGTCAATAATCTATACCAAAAAATCAAAAATTCTCTTTTCTCTCTATTTTTTGCATATCTTTTCCTAAAAAGTCAAAAAATTATCTCAAATATACTAATTTTTTTACATCACATTTTAACTAAAAATTCAAAAAGTTACAAAAAAAAATATGTTCCCAAACGAGACCTAAGGCCTTGCTTGGGAAGGACTAAAATGACTAAAGCTTCGTTTGGTTTTAGATTTTTGGCTAAAAAAGTATAAAAAGACAAAATTAGCTACATAAATCAATAAGATAAAATGTCACATCTAAACCATAATCATTACACTTTTTCTCTCATAAAAGTCAAAAAAGCCAAATGAAACGAGACTAAAAAACCCAGGTTAAAAAATTCTCAAGACAAAAAAGCCAACTAAAAAAGCAATGCCAAATGAAGACTAGGTTCGTTTGGAAAGTGGATTGGCTTTTTGACTTTTTTGACTTTTTAGCTTGGGACTAAAAAGCCTAGTTTAGGAAGGGCTTTAGGCTTTTTTGATTTTTTTGTGAAAGAAAGAATGTAATGATTATGGATTGAATGTAATATTTTATCTTATTAGATTAAAAAGCCTATTTTGTTTTTTTTGTAGCTATTGTAATCAAAAAAGCCTCAAAACTATCTTTCCAAACGGAGGCTAAATAAGCACAAAAAGACAAAATAGGCTAATTTAGCTAATAAGACAAAGTGTCATTTTGAGAACATAGTAAAAAGTCACAGTGGCTGCCAAAAACGCAACAAAATCTCTTTGGGAAGTGCCAAAAACGCAGCCCTAAAATTACAAATTAGGGCCTATGAAAAAAAAATAAAAAAAAAAATCTCTTATGTTGGGTAAGGGTATTTTGATCATTTTAATTTGATTTGACACCATAAATAAATATTAAACTAAAAAACAAAAAGTCAACTTTTTACTAACTTCCCAAATCACTTCCAAAAAAGCCAAAAAACTTGATAAAAAGCCAAAAGCTAACTTTTTACCAACTTCCCAAAACAATCCAAAATGTCACATTCAAAAAATAAAATCAAAAAAATTTTCCAAAAGAAATAAATTTAATCAGATTAAATTAATCAAAAAAATTAGGCTAAAGTCAGGCTAATTTAGGGGTTATTTGGGGTGTCCTAAATAAGTGTATTTTTTGTCTTTTTAGTCTAAAAAATTAAGGAAAAAATATAGATGTTTGAGTTAATTTTTTAAATTTTTATGAAAAAATATGTATTAAAAAATTATATAAATTAATATGTAAAAAAAATTATAATTGAGAATTATACTGCTATAATTTTTTTACTTTCAATAAATAATGATAATTTTTTAATTTTTTAAATAATTTGTTAACTTTTTAACTTTATGATAACTCGTCAAACTTGACTTTATTCAGCCTTTCAAGTTTTGATATTAGAGAGGGGGAACCACACATTGGATTTGGTGATCGAGTGGTCCTGTATTCGAGTCTTCATAAAGTAACACAGCTCCCAATCATTTTTGTCCTCGATGATAAATAAGTAAAGAGCAATGATATATCAATCTAATTTTAAAATTCTAATTGAATTTTAAATCATTCATGTCTAATGGTTAACAAATGACTCTTTTAAAATAATGGTAGAGATATTAAATTTTTTATCAAATAAATTATCAAATGTTTCACATGAGTATAAGATCTTCAATTTTGTGAACCACACACTCAAAATATTTGATTATTTATTTGGTAAAAAATTTAAGACCTATAACATTTTTTTGACTCTTTTATCCACTTCTGCAAAAAATAAAAAAAATAAATTGTGGCGATTGGTCGGTTCGCTTTGCCTTTTATTGGGCAAAAAGAGGGGGTGACCATTCACTTTTTCATGTGTGGATTTTGGGTTAGGTTGTTTAATGATGTTTTTTGGAAAATGAATACGCGGCATTATAATGTTGAGTGATGATAGAGACCCCTCCATTTACCACCCTCACAATCTCCACAGACACGTGGCGGGTGGTGATTGGAAGAGCAAGAAAAAAAGAAAAAAGAAAAAAAAAATGTAACCAATGAGAGAGAGAAGAGATCAAAGGGAGTGGGAGAAATGAGAGCATGAAACATTTTTGTATAATGTTTAGCGTAGCCATACGATACAAAACAAACTATTAGTTACGTTAGGTGTAACGTTAACACCCGTGATCAGCGGAGCCACCAGGCCAACGTATGAATTTTTGTTTGGGAACTAGTAAAAGTGGCTTGAAAATTCAGATGTGTTTTGACACTGCCAAACAAGACATTGTAGCATCGACATGATTGATTTTTACCTTACAATAATGTGCACAAAGTTATGGTGTAGGTCCCACTGAGTAGCTCCGTTAGACATAAAAAAAATTATAAAAATATCAAAAATCTTAAAAATTCTATCCAAAATTCTATCAAATATGAGACTTATATTGTGTAAATCTCACACTCATTTGAAATATTTGATAAAATTTTTAGTAAAATTTTTAAAATCCCTAATGTTATTCATCTGCATATCTCATCGTAATTGGATGGGTAGGTCAATAATAACTCATTCCAACCACAGCTTGATAGTACCACAGAAGTAGGGATGGTAATGGATAACCTACTCTGTGGGTATTCATGGAGACCCAACCTAAATACATGGATTTTTCCTTCTTTTTCTTATCCATTGGATAGGGTAAGTGATATTCTTTAAATATCCACAGGGGATGGGTACCCACTAATTTTCCCATATGTTTTTTTTTTTTTTTTAAAAAAATTCACAACCAAAACTAAATATACATTCAATCTTTTTTCTTTTTTTATTTATTTATTTTTTCAGGTTCACAACCATTTATTTATTTATTTATTTATTTATTTATTTTTATTTTTATTTTTTTTAAGATCCACAACTAAAGCTAAATATACCTCCAATCTTTTTTTTAAAATTATTTTTAAGGTTCACAACCATTTTTTTTTTTAATTTTTAAGATTCACAACCAAAGCTAAATATACATTTAATCTTTTTTCTTTTGTTTTTTTTTTAATGTTCACAACCATTTTTTTTTTTAAGATTCACAACCAAAACTAAATATACATAGAGAGGCTGGAACACCTTTGTCTTCCCCTCGCATTGTCGAGACCTTGCCAATGAGTGGTCCGGTAAGCTTTTCTCAACTGATTAGGGCTTTTTTGTTTGTTAGATCTTGCTTTTCGTTTGTTTCTATGTGTGATTGTTGTTCATGCTTCGTCCTTCTTCAATGTTGAAATTGTTGTTGGGGTTTAGATAGAGAAAATTTAAACCTAAAGCTTCAAGTAGCTAACATTAACTTTTTTCTTTCTAGTTGCTTTATTTAAACACTAGCTTGAAACTCTGAAATAGGAAAATATCCCTAATGCTATGCTTGGTCAACTGAATTGAATGTGAAATGGAATGGAATGCTCATTTGTCAACCTCGTTCACTTACAACGGTTAATTATGATTCCAATTGCAATGTAATTTTCTTGATTTTTTTTTTTAGTGAACCAAATGTGAGAACGAATGTTATGATGGAATGATCATTCCATCCTATCTTCATTCCCGTGAACCAAACACTATCAGAGAGAGATCGAGAGGAGGAGGGGGGAGACATGCAAGGGTTTGCTGCAGTTATGATCCATGTGATCATGTACTGTCAGCTTTTTTTATCATACAATCTATTTTTTGTGAAAATGAACTTTTACTATTTGATTAATGTAATTGTAGAGATAATATAGACAAAATAATTAATATCATTTAACCATTTTAGCTATTTCATTTCGTACAAAAACATTCAATGGTTGAATTATTTTGACAAATGTTCCGAAAATGTTTGTTGAATCAGATGGTTAATGTTCTTTGGACCAAAATTTATACAACATATATATATATATATATATATATGAATGTATTTGAAAATAAGGAAATTGTAGAGAATCAAAACAAGCATGAGTTGTGATTGGTTAGAAATGATGGGTACATAGATTTATTTGCTAGAAAAACAAAAAGGGGATACAAAGTCATACTAAATAATTTTTTTTAAATTAAAAGAATTTTTCTTAGTTATGAACAGATTTAACTGAAATCAACTTGTTTCCTAATGTTATGCTTCATTTATTTAGATAGAAAATATTTTTTAATGAAAAATATTTTTTATAAAAAAATTAAAAATATATTTTTTTATATTTGGTGGTGGTGGTAATGGAACGAAGGTGAAAGTAGAGATTGTTACATAGTGGTGGGGTGATGACGGCAGTGATGATGGTAGTGGCTATGGTGATGATAGTGTGACAGTGAAAGTGAGAATAGTGGTGATGGTGTTGTAAAATTAGTAAAAATTTAATTGAAAAAATATTTTTTGTTTTTTAAAAGTAACAAACAACAAAATTCGTGGAAGACTAAAGGAAGAAGATGGAGGATGGATTGGGTGTGGTAATGCATAGATATCTTAAAATGAGTGGTTCAGATTTGTTAAACGTATAATTAGATTTTGGATAAATTAAAATGAATGGTTCAAATTTGTTAAGAGAAAGATGGTTTAATGTCTAAAATGTCCGTGGCTAAAAGATCAACAAATAATTCATTGTTTATGCCCTGATGCAATTTAATATGAGTCTTATAACACTTTCTTCAAACAGGTTCTTTAACATTTTATTTCTTCAAACAGACTCTTATAACATTGTAATCAGGTTCTTATAACATGTAGGGGAGAGAGTGAGAGAGAGAGATGGTTGTAATTTTTTTTAATCTTCTACGTTCTTTCACATTTTTTTTTTCAATTACTAAAACTTGTTTGATTGTCTTAAAATTATATATTTGATTATTATAAAACAAACTTTTTAATTAATGTGTATTTGATTTTGTTGTTGAACCAAATAAAATAAAATAAGATTGAATGTATATTTAGCTTTTGTTGTGAACCTTAAAAAAATAAAAAATAAATAAATAAATAAGTTGTTAACATTAAATATATTAAAAAAGAAAGAAAAAAGATTGAAGGTATATTTAGCTAAAACCTTTATAAAAAAAGAAAAGAAAAAAAAGAAGGTTGTTAACATTAAATATATTAAAAAACAAAGAAAAAAGATTGAAGGTATATTTAGTTTTTGTTGTGAACCTTAAAATAAAAAATAAAAAAAAATAAAAAAAATAAAAAAAAAGAGAAAAGAAAAGTGGTTATTAACATTAAATATAAAAAATAAAAATGAGGATTAAAGTGGGTTGGAAAAAATTCATACCCATTAAAAAATGGGGAGGGTGGTACCCATGGAGAATGGGGAATGAGAAAAATTTATTATAGGGGAATGAGGATGGGGAATTAATATCTACCCCATTGCCCCCCATTGCCATTCCTACACAGAAGAGTCGAGTCGAGACCACACACTCCGTAACAGAATCTTTAACTGATCCACAGCAAAGTAGAAGACGATTTTCATTTATTATTGTACTAAAATCTGTACATTCATCTCCAACAATTGATTTCTTGCAAAAGTTCGTGACATGTAACATCAATGGTGGAAATTCATATGTACAAAATTGACAAAACAATTAATCAAAAATCTTACTCTATATATTCCCTAACAAAAGAGATTTTTTATACACTCACCAAAGGCATATAGTGTTAACCCCTCGACTTTTCTGATCCTAAATCAGCAACTTTGGCATAGTGATTTGGTAGAAATCTGGTGCACGTTGATGTCAAGAGCCTAGTCCTACTCTGGGACGTTGTCACAGTTCACCACTCAAAAAGTATCGGTACCATCTCCTAGTGTGGAGAGAGAAAACGGGGCAATAGCCACATTGAAGGTCTTGGAGCCCACTTTATCTATATGCTTCATCTCAAAGTCGCCCTCCTGAAAGGGAAATGAACCAGTCAAGCAATATTTCCACGATTAATGTCAAACAACTAGAAACTCCAAATACAAATACTTTTCTGTCATCAAACTAATCAAATATAGAGCCATGGAAAGCACGAATAAAAGGTTGTGGATAAAAAACGCATTGCAAGCACTGCACCATGTGGATTAGTAGTTCATTACTTTCTATGTCAATAAAAACAAATTAAAACAAAAGGAAGAGAAAATAAAATTTTAAAAAAAAAGCATGTCGTGATATGTACAAATGAACACCGTGAAAGGAAGTATGGTTGTGCAGACCATAAGGGGAGTAGCGAATGAAAAAAATTCTTCACGTGTTGTAAGTTGATGTCATCCATCTACTTCCTCTACTACAAGATATGTTAGATGACTCAGGTGCAATTGTGTGTTGAAGTGCCAGACCTTCCTAAATCTTAAATAATAGTAGGATATTGGACTATGTATCCAAAAGTTGGGTATATACATAAACACATTTTGAACATTTAAATATATTGCATGTTGCCTGATATTCTAACATAAAATGTTTTAAATGATTAGGAATGTACTTGAATTAATGGCAAAGGAAAAAAAGAAAAGAAGTTTTCGATATCTCATCCATGTCAAAAAAATTTACCAAATGTCAGACTCCTCTTCAAATATAATAAAAATTAGAGAATTCAAGCTTCTAATTTGGGTATTAGTGTCGGACACATATCCCATACCCTTACTCTTATCCGATGACCATGGGTGCATTAGGAGAAATAGAAGAGTCTATGTAACATTGACTAGTTCTATTTCGTCCATTGTCATAAATTATGCAACTTTAAATCTCATATTATCCATTGCTAGAATAATTAGAGTGTATCATCACCACAATAATAAGGTATATACAAGCCCAAAAAGTTTTGCTGCACTACTTCATCTAGCAACTTGACTTATCAAAGAAAGGAAGAAAGTAAAATTACCATTCTCCCGCTCGGGGTGCTTAATGGGCATGCAGACGAGTATTCAAAGCCAGTGTTCGGGAGTATAACTGGCTGTTCACCAATAACTCCAATTCCCCTGCAATGAAGAAACAGATGAATAGCTCAGGTGAAGAAAACACTTGTATCCCGCTGCCATAAAAGAACAATACTTTAGGTATCACAATTAAAAAAATGAAAAAAGAAACAACTTATAGCTCACCAAACATTTTCAGTTCTCCCATTTGCATCAGTGATAATCCAGTGTCTTCTGAGAAGCTGAACAGGACGGTCTGAGTTATTGGTAATTCTTATTCTATATGCAAAAAAGTATTGGCCTTTTGACGGTTGACTTCGGCCATCAATGAACACACTCCTTACTTGAACCCTAATTCCCTGAAAATTTTGAAATTTAACTCATTCAATTATTTCCAGCAAGATTTGCCAAATTTCGGGTGAAACTACACAAACACTTTTGAAATCGAGATATATGAATTCAACCAAGAAAGCAATGGATTAGACCTTGTAATGTTGAGCTCCAAATATGATAACAAAATTTCACCAAACTAAAGCCATTGTGAAAATTGAGTGGAAAGTGCAACCCAAATTCCACTTATCAGCGAAGTTATTACATTTGAATTCTTCACACCATTCCATTTGAGTCATAGAACCACAAATATTAAAATTGCTTTTTTTTTTACACTATGTATTTAAACTAGTAATGTATTAATTTTACCACCTTTTTCATCACTTAAAAGAAGTCAGTTTTACTGGTTGGGAGAAATAGTATATAATTATTTTTATTATAGAAAAGAATCAAAGCCATGCCCAAGAAAGCTACATGTATTTGAGGAAAGGTAAGAATGACTAACCCATTCATCTGAATAGATCAACTGCCATTCTTAACACTCAAAAAATTCAGCCAACTTCAAGCACGTTTAATGATTGATATAAGAATCATCACTCCTTATTACAACTAGTGTCATCAAATAAAGTTGGAGAAAAACCAAAATATTTTAATCACATTTTTTTTAATGAATTGCATTAGAAGTTAAAATTCATAGAATCAACCAAAACTCACAGATAATCAAGAAAAATCATCAAAAGATGTAATTGATGTCGAACAATCTAAGATCATCCATATACATCATACAGCAGACCATTTCTATCCTCCTTGAGTTTGCGGGGGGCTGTTAGAATTTATCATCACCTACCACCACTACCACCTCACCTACTCCACTAAACCTAACCCACTACACCACTATCACCATCCACTACATACCATCCACTACACCTACATCTATATAAGGAACCATTTGTAATAGACAAAAAATAACATTTAGATCAATACATAAATCAATAATACATTTCTCTATTTCTTTTTATACATTGCATTTTTTACAAAAGCCATGCCCAAGAAAGCTACATGTATTTGAGGAAAGGTAAGAATGACTAACCCATTCATCTGAATAGATCAACTGCCATTCTTAACACTCAAAAAATTCAGCCAACTTCAAGCACGTTTAATGATTGATATAAGAATCATCACTCCTTATTACAACTAGTGTCATCAAATAAAGTTGGAGAAAAACCAAAATATTTTAATCACATTTTTTTAATGAATTGCATTAGAAGTTAAAATTCATAGAATCAACCAAAACTCACAGATAATCAAGAAAAATCATCAAAAGATGTAATTGATGTCGAACAATCTAAGATCATCCATATACATCATACAGCAGATTGTATATATATTACCAATTTGAATTCACAGAAACCTGAATAAAATTTCCATGGAACATCTAGGCATCCATAAATGCATAGCCAAGTAGAGATGCAATGGATACTGGACACATGAAGTGGGAGAATCAACAAATAATTTTGAAAATATTTGCATCATTTCATAAGATGCAAATCGAAAGACACTACTACATATACAAATATTTTTAAAAACCACATTAAATAAATTATCAAGCAACACCTTCCTTCGCCATTTCTTCAAGAACATTTTATTTATATATTTTTCTCCATCCCCAAAAGTCTGCCATACAGTAATTAATAGGAAAAATGCAAGAGAGTATTATGAACCAGCTTGGCCAACATTTAACTTGGTGCTATTTAACAAAAAATAGTAGACTCACAAAAAAGATAGAAGCCATCTGATGCTAAGAATTTAAAAGTAAACTGTAAGCAATTATTAGTAAGAGAACCAGATGGCTTTCATACCAATGTTGTTGCATCGCTTGAACATTTCAAGAGAGAGTGTGGGGCAATATCCTTCAGTTCATCACGGTACCTAGCTGCATCCTGGAAAAAGGGAAAAGTCAAAAACAGGAAAACAGAACAGTAGAAAGTTAGAATATGCAAGGGCCTCAAATGAACATGCATCAGATTATAAAACATATGCTAAGTACATATTTTCTAAAGCTCAAAAAATTGTAATGTAGTTCATGTCCCCAAACAAGGGTTGCAGTTAAGAGTCAACATTTGATTGCATGCTCAGCCAGATTGAATAAAGATTAAATAGTGATACTAGGAATTAAGAGACAAAAATATTGACATGTTTCAAGAAACAGCAATTTATGTAACTTCATTGCTGCAAGAAATGATAGTCTAGCAAGATGTATAATTTAAGAAAGAAATTAAGAGACTGAACCTCCAATTTGTGTGCATCACCTCCAAAGAGACTGAATCTCATTGTGTGCATCACTTGAACACATTAATTATCTAAAACTAAACCAAACACTGCAGTAAAAAATTTCTCTAAGTAGACCTTTCCAATCATAATTAGAGCATTAAAAATGAAAGTCCACTATTCAAATGCCACACAATCAAATTGTTAATAAAAGAATGATCTTTGTTGTACTTCGAAGAAAAATGGCATAAGGAATCATAAGCATACAATACCTCAAACCTCTCATCAGCAATGGCCTCATTCATCAACCTGCGCATGTGTAAAATCGGCTCCTCTTCCTCAAATAATCTCAGTGAATCACGAAGTCTAGCGGCCTCTTTATAGTCCTAGAATCAAATCACAGTCAGAACTATATAATCAGAGTCAAAAAATAAAAGCAGAATTGTACACACATGGAAATCCAACACCAAATTATCGTGTGATAAGACACATTGAGATTTTATTCAGCTAACGTTCCAAAATTAAATTTGCTTACCTTCTACAATATAAAATATATATTAGAATCAAATCACAGTCAGAACTATATAATCAGAGTCAAAAAATAAAAGCAGAATTGTACACACATGGAAATCCAACACCAAATTATCGTGTGATAAGACACATTGAGATTTTATTCAGCTAACGCTCCAAAATTAAATTTGCTTACCTTCTACAATATAAAATATATATTTTTATTGACAACAAGAAAAAAAATTAAAAATTAAAAAAAATGAAATACAAAAGAAGGATGGCAAGAAGTCCACCAAAATCAAAAAGGAGAGAAAAAGAAAAGATTGCGTGGATCCTCACGCTCTACAAATAGCTTTCTAATCCCTATAATTAAAGATAAAATAAAATAAATTGTCGATTCTCTTTAAAGGAAGGAGCCACCAAAACCCCAAAAACTAGCTAAACAACACAATTTCTCCCATATGTTCTTCAAATCTTTGATTTTCTCCTCAAAAACTATATAGCATTCCTTTCAGGTCATAAAACCCAAAAAGCCGCACATACTACACATTTCCAAAGAACCCGAGCCTTGCCATTTGATTCAATTTTCTAAAATCAATGCAAAACATAATCTTGCAAGAGGGTGGAATAACCCCATCAACCTCCCCCCTCCCTCCCCCACTCCTACTGCAGCCAACATCTATATTATTACATAACCTAACATAAAAATAATGAAGTGCACAAGACTCAAAATCCAGAATTTGGTTTTGGAAAAAAACGTTCTTACCACTTGAGCACTCATATTGTCATATTAATTTATTTTTATTTTACTTAGGCATCTCCGCTAGTTGACATATACGCACTCATGTTGTCCACTGATCCATGTTAACAAAGATATCCAATATGCAGAATGCCAATATTGACTTCTTTTCATATGATTAAACTAACCAACACGTTCAAATAAGTACAAGAATCTGAGTGAGTTAGAGCATAAAATTGTCTTCAATCCACCTAGTTCCAACTAATATGAATAAAATATATGGGGATTCATCAACGAATGAGAATTTAACCGCAATATATCTCATCAATAAATGCATACAAACAAACAAACATATGTACATATATACACATTCATACCTCAGATTTGGCGGCAACTTCCATTTGCTGCTTCAATAGAGCATAAGTTTGGCTTCTCGAGAGAAACGAACTCTGACTCTCCACACCACCACTCCCTCCGCCATGGCCGCCGCTATTAATCTCAGAAGAACAAGCAACGATTCTCCACGTCTTCGATTGATCTCTGCGATTCAAATTCAACCACCGCCTTCTCGTCCCGGCCTCGAAATCCGAGACTCCGCAGCCGAATCGACCAGGCCAAGACGACCCCGTCGTCCCCGTATTGAAATCACTCAACACCCTCAGATTCAGCGAATGCATTCTTGCCTTTCGAAAATTTTCTCGGCACTTTCTTTTCAGGGAAAGTCAAAAAACAAAAAAAATCGAACGATCGATCAGCGAATTTAGGAGCGAAGAAAGAGGTGATTGGATTAAATGCCTTCGATTTCGGATTATTAATTTGTCTGCAATGTGAAATTACTATATTGGACATTGAAGTGGGTTGGGATGGGGGAGTTGTAGGGGTATTATGGAGATTTTAGAGTGGAGATTTTTTTTTGTTGATTATCTAAGATAAGGAAGGATACACGTGGCGATAGTTGGTTCATTTGTAAGGCTGACTGTTGTTCTTGTGCCACACATGAGTAAGGCCCCGTTTGGCATTGATGCTTTTAATAGAACTCTCTAATTGTCCCAAAAAAATGTTGGGTTTGTCTCAGATTTACCGCTCAACTTGAGAGAGCTGAAAAGCCCGTCACGAATTTGGTTTCAATTATCTTAATCATTTATTTTGTAATTTTTTTTAAATATATTATTTATAAAAAAATTAATTTGATATAACAATTGTAATCATTTCGTTTTATAACATTTTATCTAAAAAAAAAATGATAAATATATATTTGAAAATAAATTATTTATTATTTTAGATACAATACGAAAAAATAAAAATATTCGGACAATTATCAGATTGATCTAATTTTTTTCATCAATAATATACACTAAAAATCTTATAAAATATATAATTTGTATAATCGAAATAAGACATGTGGTGAGTTTATGAACCTTTCAAATTCTGTCGTGTTGAAATATAAATATAAGATAAATCCAACCAAAAGAAAAATATTGACAAATTCCATTCTACTCCTTATGGCATGGTTTTGAAATACTTTTATTATTGAAAAATTAAATAGAGTTCAACATCAGTCTGGGGTACGAAGCCCCTCTGGCATCATCAGACACTTGATCTGCAATAGATATAAGCATAGATATATAAATTACAAGGCCAACATCATGCTTGCTTCCTTCATTTGCTAACAGGTCTGTACAAGCATTGCCTTTTCTGAAAATGTGCTTAATTTCCTTCACTCCAAGTTGCTCCATGAGGCATCTACAGTCACAAATGAGATTGCTAAGAGGGTAGTGTTCAAATGTATTGGGCTATTTTGAGAAGTGGGTTAAAAGCTACTTTCCAGCTTTTAATCCACTTTCCTCTCTCACAAAAAAATCAAAAAAAGTTAAAAAGTAGTTTTTAACCATCTTTCTAAAACACTCTCATTACAAGTTGCTACACTAGTTGGGCATCAATTTCCACATCCACATTGTTGATATTTAGATCTTTTGCAAGTTGTAATCCATCCCGCAGCCCCCATAGTTCAGCTGCCACACTATGGTGAAACCAATTGTTGACACTAAAAATTGTATACTTTCTGTCGATTGTGTGTAGCAAATGCAGAGAATTGGTCCAGCGGATGCTAAGTTTAAAGACCACAAGTTTCCACAAGTTTACAAGTGAAAAGTGAGTGAATATGGAGCCTAGAATACAAAACAAGTGACAGAAAGGAAGTAGTCAAAGAGACAGACGTGGCAGTTGCAGTTTACCTGTCGATTCATTAAGTAATGAAGTGAAATGTGGCCAAACATGGCTCAGGTGACAAGCCATAAAGTTAGCATGCAAGGCATATAGGATATGTGTCATGTTTTCTAGGAGGAGAAAAGCTGCAATAGAGAAGCAGTTACTGACAGTTGCAAAGATTATGGGCATTGAAGTAGAAGTAGTTGGCTATATGATGGGACACGTGGCAGCAAAGCAGTAGTGGAGTTTGAAGACCAGCAATATAAAAGCTGGGAATTCGAAGTTAGAAAGACCTTCAAACAAATTTACAATCCTTATAGCATTAGGAGTAACTTAACTTAGTTAGTTCTTACTTAGGAATAGTCTATCTGTAATTCAGTTTCTGTAACTAAGAATTCTCTGTCGATTGTTATGTACATTGAACTGAGAGTTTAATTTTACTGATTAAATTCCAAGTTTGTTTGTTCAACAATTGATTTTCAGTTTATTCCTTCTTGTTTCTTCGCATTACAGCCTCCAAAGAAGTCCTTGAATCTGTCAAGGCATAGAACATTCAGACCACAATTGTTTGATTTGTTGTTGTTTGTAAAAGTTTGGCTTCTCTGTCGAATCACCCCTGTCGATTTGACCCTGACCAGATTTTTTGCTAACATATTTTGGCACGCCCAGTGGGACCTGTCTAATTTGGAGTGATGGCTAAGAAGAAATAGCAAGAAGTCTTTGAAGATCCTGAGAAAAGGATCGAAGGTGAAGAAGAGTTGGACGGTGGAATTGAAAGAGTACAAGACAACTTAACTGATGGCTATTCAGTGGCCAGGCAAGAAATAGGCCAAGGAAATGGCCAAAATGTGGCTAGAACTGGCCAATCCAGTTGTCCACCAGTTGATCCAAGGAGGGCTCTTTTGCTGCATACCCAGCAAGCAATTGGTTCCATGTCAGCATATGAGAACCAAGTGATGATTGATGACGACTTTGTTTGAAAAAGCCAACATCAAGCCCAGTCAATCAAGAAAGATTGAAGAGAAAGCACAAGGAAAAAAAGCACAACCTAAGTCCCAAATGACCCCTCAACAGCATGAAAAAGTAAGTGAACCTCTATCATTTTATAGACCTCTCACACTCCAAGAGAGATATGAGGAGCGAATAAACATAAATCCAATGTTTGAGAGAGAACAACCCATATATCATACAAACCCAGTATTTAATTACAATGTAACTAATATGGGAATGAGACCTGGGGGGCAACTAAGGCCACAAATATATGATAATCTTGCATTTGAAGGGCCTGGTTATCAGGTTATGGCAGAACAGAGAAATAGGCCATTTAATTAAGTAAGGCCTCAGGATGCAAGGGATTTTACCATGCCTCAACCATATTTTGAACCCTACATGATGCATCCAAGGCCTAGAGGACCTAGTCCTCCTAATCCTTACTTCTAACCAGAGGTTGAAGGAAGAGGGCAGCAATAGCAATATTTAGAACCTCAAGTCAATAGACAACAAATAATGAACATCATACATGAAATGTATGGTCCAAGCTTGAGAAAGCCAGATAGACCAATGTTTAGGAGTCCTTACCCTCCATGGATGGAAACAATTCCCTTTCCAAGGAATTACAGAATTCCTGAGTTTACTTTGTTCACAGGGGAGGAAAAACAATCAACCATAGAACATGTGGGTAGATTCATACTCTAGTGTGGAGAACCTGGTTATGATATAATTTAAAGTTAAATCTCTTTCCTCATTCTTTGTCGAAAGTGGCATTTACTTGGTTTATTAACTTTCCAGAAAACTCTGTTCACACTTGGCAAGACATGGAAAATCAGTTTCATGCTCAGTTCTTTAGAACTGAACCTGAAGTGACAATGGTGGATTTGTCAAAATTTAAACAAAGACAAGGAGAAAGTGCAGAACAGTACATCGACAGGTTTAAAAAAGCAAAAAAACGTTGTCATGTATACATGCCCGAAATAGAAGTAATAAGATTAGCCTAAAATGGTTTAGATTTTGAACTTAGGAAAAAATTTGAAGGCATGATGTTTAGGGATTTATTTAAGTTGTCTTCAAGAGCAACTAGTTATGAGGCCATTCTCAGAGAAGAACAACATAGAAATGCAACCTCATTAGGCACTTATTATCAAGAAGTCAAATTTGACATGGAAGTTGACATAGATGTTGCCCAAGTAATAGGTAAAAAGCCTGTGGTTTGTGAGACATTAAGAAAGACAGACCAACCTATAAGCATGCCAGCAACACAACTAGCCAAAAAGAATGTGGCTATATCACATAGACAATATTCTTTTGATTTGTCTAAAGCAGATGCATTATTTGATGAGTTATTAACAAATAAGTTTTTAACTTTAACACCAGGCCACAACATTCCTAAAGAAAAGGACAGAGTTGGCAAGGAATATTGCAAATGGCATAATTCTTTTAGATATTCTACTAATAATTATGTTACATTCCGCAATTGTGTGTAGGATTTAATTCAGAAAGGGATGTTGAAATATGCCGAAAAAGATAAAGGGGTAATGGCAATTGACAGTGATCCATTTCCTAGTGTAGACACTTCATTTTTGACCGTCCTTAAGACTTGGACGCGACTGATGGTTTACATGGTGGAGAAAGGTGTGCAGGGCAAAAGTTTAATTTCTTCGACAAGAAGAGAGAGAGAAAAATTCCAACCTTACACCCCATTTTGGACCAAAGCTATTTTGGATGATTTTTAGACCTTAAAACCCTCTCTTTCAAAATATTTTTTGAAACGAAGTTCCTACGATGTTCCGAGGCTCGCATTTTGTCAAATGTTGCGCTTTTCGGTAAACCGAGCAAGGACAAAGTAGAAATGAATGAATGAGAGATGAAATATTTGAAAAATCTTTCAAAACACTTTGTTTAGGGGTTTGGAGTTGAAGAAAAGAGGAAAGGAGAGAATAAAACTAGTTTGGGAGAAGTTCGGCATGAATCCGGATAGGACCAAATCTGTGCGGCTTCACCGAAACGGGCATAACTCTTTGCACAGGAGGAATTTTAATGCGAGGTTAGCGCCATTGGAAAGCTAACTTCTGGGGCTTCAATGTGGCCACATAAAAAACCAGAAAATCAGATGGCCGACCAGCGTTTTTGGTCAAAAGTGGCTCAACATGAATCCGGGAAGGAGAGAAAACATCTGCGCGGCTTCACCGAAACGGGCATAACTCTTTACACAGGAGAAATTAAGATATGAGGCCACCACCGTTGGAAAGCTTACTTCCGGGGATTCATTTTTCACTCAAGAATCTCTTAAGGACAAGTCCAGGTGGGGGAGATATGGTTGGTTGAAGTCCGTTTGGACCGAATTTGCGCGGCTTCACCAAAACTGGCATAACTTTTTGCACAGGAGGAATTTTAATGCAAGGTTTGCGAAAGCTAACTTCAAGGGCTTCATGGAAGACCAGCTTTGCGGCTTGAACCTTTTGACCCCTGGTCGGCCGACCAGGGGGAGTGGCCGGCCGGTCACTTGAACTGGCCGGCCTGCTTCTTGCTTTTTGCCCTCTCTGAATACTTTACAACTGTGCTAGCTGGGGGGCATTTGGTG